TTTTTTTTTTTTTTCTAAAAACAACAGGCAATAATAACTACAAAATAACACAGACATATACATATATATGTATATATATATCTATATCAATGACGTATATATGAATTAATTATACGCAAAAACAAAAACTGACATGAAAACTAACAAAGAAATGAATAAAATAACCGATAATAAGTCCATGATTATATATCGATTTGTTTATATGTCTGTTCGTTCTCATCACGTATTAAAAACAGTTTTACATACATTCTAAAAATAAGATTACAAATAACATGAAAATGCATAATATTATAGACTAAATATATCTCCTGAATTATCATAGCATGAGTGTAACTACTTGTTTTTCCGATCTTGTGTTTCTTCTTTTTTTTGATTATTACTGTCATAAAATAACACATGATAGAATCTATTCACGTCATGTTCATTTAAATTTTTGTTTTCTTTTTGCTCTTGTTTTATTCACATTTCTTATAAGCATATACATATATAAAAAAAAAAAAATGACGTCAATATGTTGATCTAAATGATTTTTTTTTTTTTTCAGTTCTTTGAATTAAATGTTGATTACACGACTTAATTTTTGCACACGATTAAGTAATAAATCGCCCTTTTTTATGACTTCTTGATAAAGAAAATTCTTTGAATCTGGTCTTGTTGTTTCGATAATTTCACGTACTTTATCAATTTTACAATTGAGTCTTCCATTGGCAATGAAACGTGATAATTCTTTATCAAGAAATCCTTCTGAACAACCAAATGCTTGTGCCATACCTTTAAGTGTCAATGATGAATATGATTGTAATAATTGATTATATGCTATAATACGCATTTCACGTACATAATATATTGCATGTGGTACTAAATATCGATCTTTACTAAGTAAATCTTGTTCAATTTTTGCTAAACAACGAAAAAAATCTGCATAACGACATTCATAAAGTGAAAATAAATATTCTTTAATTAATGGAAGTCCATGTAGAATTTCAAGAATTTCACTACCACGAATAACTAGAACAAAAAAAAATAAAAAAAAATAAATTCAAATTTTCTATATCATTTAAATGTTCTTTTATTTTTTTGATAACAAATAAGTAATCTGTATTAAAGATTAAGTTTCTAAGCTTATTTTGAAAATAATTATAATATATATATGAGTAAGATAAGTTATTTTTAAATTTCAATTAATGTTCTTTTTTTTTTGTTTTTAATAGAAACAAAGTTGAACATATATTTATATAATTTAAAGAACTAATGAAGACAAAAAAAGAATACCTTTTTCACGTAATTTTGGTCGTTCAAGTGCAACAACTGAACAAATAACTGTATATGTAACAAATGTTTGATAATCCATTAATTCATATGATGTAAATGTAGCAACTGTATCAAGAAATAATTCAGCAGCTAATTTAAAATCTCGTATTGACATAGCACGTAAACCTTGATAAACTTTCATACGATTACGTCTATCCCAATCACCACCTTCATCAACTAATGTTTTAGCTTTATCTAAATTTCTTTCAATTAAATCTTGATCCATATAAAATAAACCTAAACGTAATTGATAAAAAATTAAATCAAGACGATTTCCTAATGTAACAGTTTTATCATATGTTTTTCTTAACCATGTTAATGCTTGTTCACGATCAATAATTGTACATAAATATTGGGCTTTAGCTAAATAACTTTCACGTATTTCACTTTCACCAAAATTTTTTTCTGATTCTTGAATTTTTTCATCAAATTCTTTAAGTTTTTCATCATTTATTGTACGCATTGTTTGAAGAAGTTTTTCATCCGATGATAATTGACCATCTTTTATACATTCATTATAAAATGATGTCATATTATTTTGTTTAATTTCATTTAAAAGTTTTTCTTTTAATATTACATCATTTGGTTTAAGTGTTAATAAAAATTTTATTTGTGCTAAATCAAGATTAGGTACTTTAGGAAGACCTTCATCAGATAAATCTTCGATAGGCATTATCTACAAATAAACAAAAAAAAAAAAAGAAGAAAACTAATATATCTTGAAAGACATGAATAGATATATTATCTTTTCGCTATAACAAGAAAAAAAACAGCTCACAATAACAGTTAATATCTGACTGAAAATTTTAAGATCGTATTTGTTGTCCATAAAAACGATGATCATAATCAGCTTCATCATAACCTTGTGGTATATGATTAGCTGGTACTTGATCTTCATAATAACAATCATCTGAATCAGTTGAATGACAATCAGATGATGTATCAGTTAATTCTTGTTGATTGTTATCATCATCATCAATATTATTTAACTTATCAATTTGTTGTTGTTGTTGTTGTTGTTGTTGTTGATGATGTTCATCATCATCAATATCATCGATAAGATATTTATTATCATCATTATTATTCAATTTTAATTTATTTTTCTCATCACGTATTTGTTCCCATTGTTGATTAACAGTTCGACGACGTTTTTCTGTATCAGATTCATCATCACTACCATAATCAATAATAAAAAAATCTGGTCGTGGTTCAATTGGTCGATTTGTTAATGTTGTCCACATAAAACCTTCATTAGCTTTACGTATAGTTAATAATATATTTGAACGACGTACTTGAAATAAACATTTTTCAGGTATAATATTATATGCTAAATAAATTCGAACATAACGATCATATGTACGAATTTTTGTACGACAATAAATTAAATTTTGTTCAAATTCAACACGTGTTTGTGTTGAATCAACATTATAAAAACCAATTGTTAAATAAATATCACGTGATGTTTGTTCCCAAAAAAGACGTGTTTTACGTTGTGTTTGTTTATAATCAATTTGTTCTTGTGTTAATGGACCACGTTCATCAATAAATGGTTCATAACGACTCATATTTGGTGCATGAATTTTTTGTTCATTTATTTCATTATTTCCATCATCATCATTATTATTAATAATATTATCTTGATTATTTGGTTTTAAATTATTATTATTATTATTACGCATATGACGATTACGATTACGATGTACAGGAAAATCTGCTTGACGACGTTGTTCATCTTCCATATCTTTTATTTGACGAAGTTGAGAAAATAATTTAGGACCAAAAATAAACATCATTTGATCATCATCATCATAATCATCATTAGGTTCTTGTTTTAATTCTAATGGTTTATTAGCTGCTGGAATTGTATCGATCGTATCCTTTCAAAGAAACAAAAAAAAACAAAAAAATTATAATTGATTTTTATGAATGTAAGAGAATTTTTTTTTTTGTTAAGATAGAATCGAGTAAGAACATTTAATGTTTAGAATTTGAAAGATTTCAATGTAGTTTATTGTAAGAATTTCTTTAGAAAAATTCTATTCTTTACACTTCTTATTATTTATGACTATGTCAATTCAAAACAAAAATCGTTTTGATATTGAATTTTAATAATTAAAACAACAAAAAAACCAAAAAATATTTCTATTAGCTTGACTCTATGTTGTTGTTAGAAAAACCTGGAAGTTTAGCATCAAAATTCACTCAAGAATGTCAAATTAATGATTCTTGTCATACATAAAACAGTCCTAATTTAGATATGCTAAATGCCAATATATTAATCATTTAGAATTGTCATTAGAAAAAAGTCAAGATAGATTCAATCAAACATAATATATGCAGAAATTGTTTTGAAAAGCTGAAAGAAGAAAGAAATACATTCGTAACAATTTCGATCACTTTGACCCAATCCATAGTGTAAAACATGAAAAATGATTTCCCAAGAGATATTTCGTTTTCAATATAGATTCATAAATAACATGATCTTTCTGCTAAATATTTTATTAGAATTAATAGTACGTTAAACAACATTCTATAACTACTTTAAATAGTTTTTCATCGATAAAATATAGAAATCAGCAGTTTCTATTATGACCTTCATTCAAGAGATGAGATCTTAATGATAGAAAAAAAAACGGATGATTTCGAATCGACATTATAGTACATTTTTCAAAAAAAAATTACTTTATAGTAAATAAGTTTCTAACTTTATACAAATAAAATAATAACATAACTGCGAAGAAACAGATCATTCTATATCATGACTAACAATTTAACATACTTATATGTCAAAACAAACAAAACTCATATAAAAAGATTTTGTTGTGTATTACTCACTAATACCTTCCGTTTGAGCGCATTGGCAGGACTCGTAAAGTGGAGGAAAAAAAAAACTTCAAAAAGGGTTTATTCGATTATTGCAAGAAAATAGTTTCTTTAAAACTTATTTGTCTCTATTTCATCCATGTGTTCGTTAGGCATAATAAGTACGTAAAATAATATCATCAAATAAAATTGTATGTTACGGCAGTTAGCATTTTTGTTCAAGAGACATATTTTGTTTACATTTTTATAGTTCGGTACATCAATTTTCTTTCTGTATGAGTGGTTTACAAAAATAATTAGAACAAATCTTTAGCCCGTATTAATGACTGATTATACTGTTTTCAAAAATAAATTTATATATTTAATACATATCAGTTTATAGTTTTAGAATATCTAATTTGATATTTATTTTTTCTTTTTTCTTACTATTGATCAAATTGATTATAAAATTCTTTAATTTTCGTATTAAAGACAATTCAAATGCCGGGAGATAGCGCACATGGAAACTTAATTTATCATAGACGCGTAACGTTTTAGCAGATTCTTTCAATATCTCTTTATTATTTCGTCTAATAAATTGATCTATTGTTCAGCTGCATTTTCGATCATTGGCTGCTTGATATTCTAGAGAGCACCTTGAATTTTGAGATTTTTCAGCTTGGAACTAGTTGCAGGCAAGAGTATCTTCATAAGTTGATGGATTTTTCTGGTAGAACGAATTTCTGTATTTCAGTAATGTAATGGAGAAATGTGATGTGATTTTAGATTGCTTGTTTTTTATCATGTGAGCTTATTATTAAACAGCCATAAGAAAAAAATTAAGCAAATATGTGAATGTTTTTAGTAGGTAATCTGCTTTGTATAAGTTTGCCATAAGCGCAAAAAGAAATGGTGCAAGACAATCTAGAACAGACTGTTCCAAGTTTGTTTTTTTTTGCAAACCATCGTATATTCTCGCTGGTACTTTCAATTAAGTTCTTTTCTGTCTAGTACCTTCTGGTGAAATATGTTAGTGTCGGTAACCCCGTTAAATTCTTCTCATCGGCTGTACCCATTATATAAGTTTAAAAAAATCAGCTCGTAGAAATGTTCTTTTATTAATATATTGAAATTGCTTTTCTTTTAATAGAAAATAAAGTAATGTTAGTTTTAGAGAAACTTGTTGTGACTGTTTCTCTAGAACAAAGTAGCAATCGGATGAATTCTTCTGAGAGTTTTCTCTATCTTATGAGTTCAAACAGAGTGATGACTCACTGACTGCACTATTCGACACGTATTTACAAAGTACTCTATACAAAACTCAGCACCGCCAGCTATGGAATGACCTTGGATAAGGGTCATACTTAAAGAGAAGATATTGAGTTATTAAATTTGCTATTAAGCAGTACTCCATACTGCAAGATGAGGATATTCTTTCAAGCCGAAGATATCAATGGGTGATGTTTTCAGGTAAAATAATTTAATTTCGATTAATTTATAAATTACCTCAAAGATTTCATCTTCTTCTTCAATTTGTTCAGTTTTTGTTTCATTTTGTATCATTTTACTTGGTCCAATTTCGGATGGTGTTGTTACATTTGAATTAATTGATGATTGTTGAGTATTTACTAATGTTTGAAATGGTGAATATTCGTCTGAATGTTGAAAACCAACTGTATTTGATATTGGTATTGATTGTGGTCGATGAAGAATATTTTCTACTATCGATGATGATTCTGTATGCATTTTATGTCCACGACCAAGTGGAATATATCGATCAATATTAATATTTTTTTCTTTAGTCGATTGTTCTTCAATTAATGATGAAGATTCTTTAATTAATATTTCATTATTTTCCGATGAAATTCTTTTAACAAAATCAAAATTTTGTAATTCTTGATTATGCTTTATAAAAAATTGTTTTGAACGACCAACAGGATTAATAATAAGTTGTCCAATACGATTAAGAAATGGTTTAAATACAGGTGAAAAATCTTCAATAATTTCTTCTTTTACTATTTCTTGTTCATCAGATTTTATTATTGGTTTTGTTTGTTCTTGTGTTTCTTCTTGATTAGATATTGGTACATCATTAAGTTTAGCTTCAATAGCTATACGTTCAAGTAAATTCATATGATTATCATTTGATTGAACAAGTTTAGATAGGATTAATTGTTTTCGTATTGGTTTATCATATGCAATACGTTTAAGTGCAGCTAAACGAACTGGTTTAACAAGTGGATCGATCCAAAAACATGAACGTGTTGCTAATTTAATACGTCCCATAAATATTTCATTTAATGTTAATGAACGAACAGTTTCAATTGTAAATGGTGTAAATGTCATTGTTATTTTATCTAATGGACAAATATTACATAAGATTATTTCAGTTGCTAATGGAGGATATTGTTTTAATGAAGATGGTTCAATAGGATAGAGATGTTCATTAGATTTTAATGTAAATGTTATACCAGTATCAAGACTGAAAACAACTAACATTGGACGATTGACTGTTGTCGGAGATGAACTAAATAAAAATTATTAAAAAAAAAATTTCATAGAATTTGTTTCTTGTAAATTCTTTTTTGTACGATTATAAAATTAAATTGTCATTATGTTAATATAAAAGTTTGTAGAATTAATAAAGAAAGAAGAAATGATCAGCAATATAGAATAGGTTTTTCGATACCTCTTGAATTACGAACTAATGAAGGAACATTTTTCACTATTAAATAGGTTTTTTGTTTGACACTATTGCTGTTCGATCGGTTATAATGAGTTTTAAAAGCGATTTGTGTTGATTCGATTTTCGTGTCTGTAACATTCACACCCTCTATGACAAATTCATATTTCGATGCGGATATATTTCTTCAAATTCAAACTTTAGAGTGTTTCTAAAGATTATAAAATCTATTTGTAGATAAAATTTCAGTTCGAAATTTGATCATTCAGGTTCTTAGTAATTCTACGCTGGTAGGACAACACTTGAGTAAATCGCTTCTAATTCAGTAAATCGAATCAAAACAAATTTTTTCACTACTTATCGTCACTGTTTTAATGTCAATAGTCTCAAGAGAATAGTACATTTAACTTTTGAGAGGGTTTCTTTGTACGCTTTCATTTGTAGAATCTCAATAGACTCTTTAAAGTATAAGTCGAGTGACTGAGTTTAGTAGCATTTACATTGCTAATTTCAAATTGTTTTCTTTTTACAATTTAAAAAAAATCTTTGATTATTTCGAAATTCTAGTCATTTCTCAATTTATAATACGACATTATAAAGACGAAAAGCTAATATTTAAAAATATAAAATATAGTTTTGTTTTTATTATTTAATAATGAAATCATATGAATGATAATTTCATCGAGCTTCTAAACACTACTGAATATCAAAAACGTTTAATACTCTCTAAATAGACGAACTTAACATCGTTCACGATTATTGTATATGTATTCCAATCTCCTGATAGAACTGTTGGAAGAACACATGAACATAGGGTGAATAGACCAGTGATCAACACTATTTTGCGATCACTTTAAAAAGATCCTATTTTTCAGTCAATCGTCTTTAATTTCTATTCAACAATAGATTCTTCTAGAACATACCCAAAAGCTAAGCTCTCTCTCAAGAACCACTTTGCTTCTCAAGTGCTATGAAATTTAATTGGACAATTACTATTTCAAGCATCACTCAAAACCATTCATGAAGAAAAACACGATAATACGAGTTCATGGAGAATAAATTCCAAAAATGATACCTCGAGTGAAGCATTACAGATATGGAACCATAATACATAAAAGTGATAACTCATCTCCCTTAAGGCTTCCACTCTCAAAAAAGTTACTTTTCGTCAAAATCACCGAAATTAAGATAAATGCAGAGAAAGATAGCCCATGATCTGATCTCTCATACACGACAAAAATTATTACTCAGCACCTCTTTTTTTCCAAAAGTTTTTCAAGATTTCTGACATCCCCTATTCTCGAAGGAGTTTTATTGTAGTCAATAGGTTTTTTTTGTTTGAAAGAGCGTGCAAAACTGCAGTACCTATAAGAGCCAGTTTTTTTTATTATATATAAACCTTTATATAATTAGAGCGCCACTTTTTTAGAGTTTTTATTTTGAGTCATTGAACTTTCGATTCCTTTTTTCCCTTAAAAGTAAGAGTTTAAAAAAAAAAAGGCTCTCATAGTCACTGCATTCTGACACGCTCTTTCAAACAAACAAAAAAGAAAATCAAATGTATAGTCTGAAGACTACTGAGAAGTTTTGGAGACAAAATTAGCTATTTTTTGATCCTTGTTTGGGTGATACTTCTATCGAACGTCATGATACAGGGCTGAAAATTTTATCATAGCCATGGTTCACCAGCCCAAACATATCCTGAAAATTTCATGCCATTCGGACGCTCTTTGTCTGAGGTCGAATTTTGAGGGACAGGAGGGGCCTTAAGTAGAGCTCATTGGGTTCAATTTATCGGTCTCTACCCTCAAGAAATGCTTACTCAGAAAATTCGAAGATTTTTTGCAAAAAAACATGAATATCTATTGGTGAAAAAATAATTATTGAGAGACAGAGAGGGCCCAGAACTGATCATGTGATTGTCGTATTGACTGCAGAGCAAGAATTTACTAATAAAAACTATACAGAATAAAGTTTTTTTTTTTTTTTAAATAATAAATAATATTTTTTTATCTTATTATTTCTCAAAAAAATCTTAATTCTTCATATGCAGACAAAATAATCTATTTAGTTAATAAGAATTACTTTTGTTTATGAATAGTTGATATTTGTTTATTTGTATCTTCATTATTATTTTTATTTATAATAGTATTCGATACTTTTAATAATCTATTTAATATTGAATCAGCTCGTCTTATATCAAAATATGTATGTTCTTGTTCATAAACATAAACACGATGTACTTTATTATTATTATCAATATAAAAATAAATTTCACCGTATACAATTTCACTTAATGGTTGATTTTTAACATTATTAAAAGCATCTTCAATTTGTTTATAAAATATATCATAATCAAATATTTTAATTAATGTTTGATTAATATCATTTCTTGAACGTAATATATTTGCCCATAAACGATTTCCATCACTAATATGTGTTATACGTAATTCAATTTCACCTTTATTAGGTAAACATAATTCATATGAATTTGTTAAATAATTATTATTATTATTATTTTCTTGTTGTTCTTGTTCAATATAATCAATATCATAATGAAAATGATGTCTATATGGACAACGTTTTAAAATTTTATCATTTAAACATTGTCCATACATTTTTAATGTTGGACATAATTCAACATTTATTTTTGCATGTAATGATTCATAACAATTATTTTTAGCTAAACGTTCAATTAATGGATGTAAATAATTATTTGAATTATTAATATAAATAATTAAATCATATGTTACTTGTGCACAATCACCTGGCCATAATATAACAATTAATGGTATATTTATTAATGTATTAGATTGATAAAATTTTTCAATTAATTTTAATGATGTTAATTCATTTTTTTTCATTTTATTATTATTATTATCATTATTATGATCATTAGTTAATAAATGTTTATGAATTAATTTCATACGTTGATTATATAATTGATACCATATAAGACGTTGAACATCAAGATGTATAATTATATCTGTATTATCAATAATTATATCATTTAATATATCATCTTGAATTAATAATATTAATAAACGATCATTTATTGTTTGCCATTCATGTATATATTGTTGAATTTCATCATAATGTAATTGTGCATGTATTAATATAGATTGTATTGATAAATCATTAAGAATACTTTGCATTGTTACTAAACGACGTGTTTGATGTGCACACATAATAATTTTTTTTTTACAATGTGATGCTAAATCTAATGTTTCTTTAATAATATATTTACGTTCAGACCAATTTCGACATGGTTCACAATAGACAAAAAAATTTTTATATATATGTGTTTCCATCATTGATGATGAAAGATAATAATAATTTTTATTTGTTGAAAAATATTCATTAATAAAATTTTTTGTTTGTTGATTTACAATACGAGATAGAAAAAAATGTTGAATAGATTTAGTTTTATTTGTATGTAATTGAATAAGATTTAATATTTCATTTATGAATTCAATTGTTTGAAGAAGAAGATCAAATTGATCATACTGAAAAAAAACAATGTATTATAAGATTGTTGATTATTTATGAGAAAGTTTAAACGAATTCAGATTTCAAATTTGATTTACAGAGAAGCGGATAATTGCTTGTAAAAATTGTTGAGCTAGTAATTTGGGATACAGTAATTTACACCAAAATCATCATTAGCGATTTATTGGAGTAGATAAATTTAGTTTTTAGCTTTCAATTATTTATACATATATTATAATCCAAAATGACATATCGATCAGTTTTCTTTTTAAAATTCTAAACCGTTGTTATATGTAGAAATGCTTGTAAAATATTTATCCAACTTATGGAGCATTTTTACAATCATAGAAAAATCAACTAAAATCCTTATGAGGAAAACATCTGAACTAATAACTGTCGTTTGAGTTCATCTTAGACTTACAAGAGCGCCTTGGCAAAACTCACAAAAATCTAAAAAAAGTTCGTATTCATAAATCTTTGAAGCCCAGTTATGCTCGTTTTATTGAATTGTTCACTCAGTTTTACGTGTATATCGGAAAATTCGAAAACAGAATTTTGACATGAAATTTCGCCTATAACCAGGTCGAATGATCCTTAAAATATCCCGTCGAAAAGAATATTTCTTCTGGCGAGATACTAAACTTTGAAATAAACTTAATATTTCGACAAAAGAACATTCATTTCGGCTAAAACTTTTAAGATGTTCTACAGATCATTCGACCTATGTACGGACGAAATTTCAAGTTAAAATTCTGTTTTTGGATTTTCGGTATGGATGTGAAGTTGGATCGAAAAATTCAATAAAATGATTTCCAGCTCGACTCCAAAGGCCTATAGAGATGAACCCTTTAAGACTTTTTCCAGTCTTGCCAAAACCTGCTCATGAGCTCAAACAAATAGTGTAAGTTCGAGTGGCTTCTTTGCTAGTTGCCAACTGACTTCGGAAGACGAAATTCAGTTAAAATTCATCAGGTATTCATTATTGTTACGAAATATTTTTCTCTCAATATTAATTGCAGATAGCATTCACTTTTTCGCCAATGAGATCGATATTATTTCTAACGATGACTTTTACAGTTTCCTCGAATAGATTGTTTTTGGCAAAACAAATGCAAATTTCTATCTAAGTAAAAATTTTGAATTGATCAATTAGTGAAAAAAAAATAACAAACAAATAATTTTTTTCTCTTTGAAATTTAATTCTTATCTAAAGATAATAGTAAAATATATTCAACATCAAAAACTTACAACAATCATTTCAAGTCGTTCAAAATGTATATGACGTTTTTGTATTAAATCATTAACAATCGTTGGTGTAGCTATAAGAAGATCACAACCTTGTGTTAATAATTTTTTATATAATTCATTTTCAATATTTTGTCCTTCATAAATACAACACATGAGAATTTTTTTAAGTACATCTGTATTAACATTCGATAAATGTTTATATGCATTTTCACAAGTAAACCAATCCGGTGCAAGAATTAATATTTTTGGATAAATAATATTTGAATTTAATGATGGATTAATATTTGTTGAACGATAGAAAAAATTCCATATTAATAAATCATATTTTACAACAAATTTCATTGGTGTTGTTTCACGTGTTGTAGGATGATCAACAGCCCATACATTAGCACCATGATGTATTAATGGCCATAAATAAGATATAAATGGTGGTAAATAATTTGTTTGAATTGATTGAATTGGATTTATATTAGCATGACAATAAAGTGCACTAGAATATATGAATAATTGATTATTATTATTATTATTATTATTAATTCAACATACCAAACATCAGGATGAAATTTAGCATCTGAAATTGTAAGCCATGGTTGAAATGTTGGATCAAGATTTTCGGAATTTATAAGACATAAAGACCGTTCCCGTAGATTTGATAATAACATTTTTCTTTTTGGATTTTTTTTTATTCACCGGACTTAAATCGATGGCATCTTAAAAATAAAATTTAAAAAAAGAAAAGTTTGTAATCCATTTTATTTTAGTTTTTTTCTTTTGTTAAATTTGTTCAACGGATTACCAATATAATAATCAAACCTAGTAGCCTCTCCACCTGTTCATATAAAAACCAATCCATAGGAATTAATAAATTAAAATAACGACATCTATTTTACTTTATTTTTATGGTATAGTATTTGACGAATGAATAATCGATTGATATATATATGTGTGTGTACTTATTTGTTGTATATCTTTATAGCAATAAAAAAATATGAGTACATCAACTACAAATCATACAAAACCGGAACAAAATGTACGAGTTTGGATGGATGGTTGGTAAGTATAACAATTAGTTCATGTAGTTCTCTAATAGATATTTAAAAGGTTATCTTTAGACAGGAAGTTTTTTTTTTATGTTAAGCTAGAATGATTTATTACGCATGACTTATAAGTTAGAAGACTATTGCTGATTACGCAGAATTTATGAATGAGAACTTCTAATTTAGATGAGAAAGAAAACAAGGAAACTTATTAACTCATTTTGAAAACGAAATAAGTCTTTAGTTATTATAGATTATTCAAATTCGAATTGATCAACTTAGAATATATCGAAAATATTATTAGGAATTATTAATGCAAAAAGCGTTGCTTAGTGAAACAGATGACGTCACTGTCAATGTGACTCATTAATAATTATCGATATAAGATAATGTCACTAATAGAAACAGTACAGGAACAGAAAGACAAACATTTTCTGAATCCTACTAGACTTATCTCGTCATGTTGACTAATGACATGTGAGATGATGAGAAAAAAGTTGTTTGAATCGAGCAAAAATTTTAGTGAAATTTTCTATGATTTTTTAGTAAATTATGTTATAGATCGGTATCAATACATCCAAATATGCAGGAGAGATGACAAAACAAGAAAGTCTGACGTAGTTTTCTGTAAATTTGGGTCCAGATTAGGTTTATCAGAAGAAAGAAAAGTCAGAATCGAGAATATTTTCTTATTATTAGTTATGATATGGTACATTTTGGTCATGCTAATGCTTGTCGACAAGCAAAACAGATGGGTACTTATTTAATTGTTGGCGTTCATTCTGATGGTTTGTATTGAAATTTCTCATATATATCTATTTTTTTTTGTTTCTATGCAATAATATTTCTTTAGCGGAAATTACTAAACATAAAGGTCCACCAGTATTTACAGAGCAAGAACGTTATAAAATGGTTCGTGCTATTAAATGGGTTGATCAAGTTGTTGAGAATGCTCCATATGTAACAACACTTGAAACATTAGAAGAATATAATTGTGCTTTTTGTGTACATGGTGATGATATTACTGTAAGAAAAAAAATATATATTTCCTTTATTTGACTTGTTAATAGTAAACGGTTTTTTTTTGTTTCTAATTATTAAAAGGTTACGGCTGATGGTATTGATACTTATCATATTGTCAAAGCTGCAGGTCGATATCGAGAATGTAAACGAACACAAGGTGTATCAACAACAGATCTTGTCGGAAGGTTTGAATTCTTTTTTTTTTATTTATTTATTTCATTATTCTATTAGAATTATTTAGAATGTTATTAGTTACAAAAAGTCATCATGAACCTGATGATATGTTACCAGATCCAGAGAATACACGTCGAATGAGTTTATGTAAAGAAAGTGTTAGTCCATGGACAGGTGCTTCACAATTTTTAGCAACAACTAATAAAATTATACAATTTTCTAATGGTCGTGAACCAAAGGTAGATCATATTTTATATCTATGAAATATAATCGAATGAGATATTACTAAAATATTCTTAATTAAAATTAGAGTAGTTCTAGCACTATTCCCTGAAGAAATCATCAGAAATTGTTTTTAGTAAACTTTCTCTATCATGAATTCAATTGGATTAATTTATTGTAAATTCAACAGAGTGAAGCCGGTACTGCTCATTCTCAAGTTTAGAAATTTCTAATAATAGATTATGAATTAATCGATAATTTTTATGAACATTTGAGTTTTATTATATATATAAATAATTTCTTTTAGCCTGGTGACAAAGTTATTTATACAGCTGGAGCTTTTGATTTATTTCATGTTGGTCATGTCGATTTTCTTGAAAAAGTAAAAGCTTGTGGTGATTATCTTATTGTTGGTTTACATGGTGATCGAGTAATTATTTCCAAAAACAAATAAGAGTAAAAAAAAAAAGCTATTGATTTTTCTATCTCTAGGTTGTTAATCGATACAAAGGAAGTAATCATCCAATAATGAATATTCATGAACGGGTCTTAAGTGTCTTAGCTTGTCGAGTAAAATCTGAATATAAACAACAAAAAAAGAATTTAATTGCAAATTTTTTTCTTTTATTATTAGTATGTTGATGAAGTTGTTATTGCTGCACCTTATTCTGTTACAATGGATTTAATTAATCATTTTAAAGTATGTATTTTAAACAACAAACAATTAATATTTAATTAGTTCTTTTTCTCTTTTTTAAATCAATAGGTTTCGCTTGTTATTCATGGTCGAACAGAATATGAACCTGATGCTGATGGAAATGATCCATATGAAGTACCAAAAACACTTGGCATATTTCAAAGAATTGATAGTGGAAATCCAATGACTACACAGGACATTATTACACGTATTATTGATAATCGGTTTGGTGTTTGATATTTATATAAATATTTGAGATAAAATTCTTTGTTTTGATTTTGTAGATTAGAGTATGAAAAACGTAATAAGAAAAAAGAAGCTAAAGAAGCAGCTGCATTTGAAGCATTTCAAAAATTAAAAGCTGAAAATCGAAATGAATCAACAGCCGTTAACATTGAACAAAAATCATAAATAATGCAAAAAAAAAGAGAATAAAATTTCGTTTTGTTTTTCTTCTACTGATAATAAAAATGAAACGTTCCAGGACTATAACTTTTTTTTTCTCATTACTTTTACACATTTGTTCCTTTCTTTTTTTTTTTTTTTTCTTTTTTTTTCAAGGGTATTTTATTCATTGTTGAATGATGTTGGTGACGTAGCTTTTTTTTCTTCATTGATATTGTTAATAATATTTAAAAAAAAACAAACTCGTTTTTTGGATGATTCAAATAAAACGATGAATGATGCGCAGAAGAAGTTAAAAAGAAATTCATTTTTGTAACGGTTTTAATCTATTGTCTTGATTATACTAAACAAAAAAAAAGGAAATAATCTAAACATTAAGATAGAAGAGATGTACAATAAACTAATTAATAATACATAGTCACAAGAGAACGATGAAATATCATGCCCAAGCAATCAACATAATGAAGGAGCTAAGCAAATGATAATATATCGAGAATAAACGGGAAGCACTACAAATTTTTCTCTTTTTTTTCTTTTTGGTAATCTAAAATGATGAGAGAAGTTTATCAATTGATTAATCGCTTTTCAATCAAGACTATGTGCATCATGTAGAGATTAAATGAGATATATATTTGATAAAGACAAAAAAAAAACAATCTGTAGAAATGTAGATACTATGCGAATATATTTCTTTTTTTTTGAATGATCTATTTTTAAATATGTTCATGATTTTTTTCCACGGCTGAAATCGAATGATTAGGTCATTAAGTTTATACTCATTTTGAATATTAGGAATCTTTGGATTACACGCAAAAAGTAATGCTAGATATGGATATTATCGTGATAATAAGAGTCGATAATTATAGAATATTAAGAAAATGAAAAACATATTTAATGATAGATAATATGTAAATTTATCATCATAATGTTTATCCTTATTTAATCTATACAAACAATTATGCCTAGTTACGTTTTATGTTTCTTTTTTTTTCTTTTCCGAAATAAAAGAAAAAAATATGTAATTTTTAAATATAAGAAAAAAAAATTCATTCAGCAGGAGGTCAATCATTTTGAATTCATCAAAGAAAAAGAATAAGTATTTTGACAAAAAAAAAAAAATGAGAGTTTATCGTCGTGATCGTTCTTATTGGAGATCAATATTGGGAATTCTTGAAATTCTCACTATGGTAAAATGAAGTTTTTTTTTTTGTTTCTAATTAGAAATAAAAAAAAAATCTTATTTTAATTATTTTCTTCTTTTATTGATATGTCTCTTTTTTGGTATGATATGTGCATTGATTGCATCTACGGGCTGGGCACAACAAGCTGATTGGGTTTCAGAAATATGTCAAGGTTATACAACAAATCAATATGTTGCAGCACTAGTGGAATGTAGTGAAAATTCATCACCAGATTCATATAGATCACTTTCAGCAAATACAGTTAAAACAGCAACAATAGTTATTTTTGTTCTTAGTCTTGTTGCTGTTTTAATTATTTTTTTAATTCATGTATTTGGAGCATTACGTAAACGAAAAATTTGGAAAATTGCTACTAAAGTAGTATGTAAAACAATTTGATTATTGTTTTTCTTAATAATATAGGCAACGTATTCGTTATTCAAAGTGATAAAAATGAAACGAATAGCTATAATATTATCTATTTGTACTACGTTAAAATTTCTACCAAGAAACATGACTTTTTTCTAAATCAATATAATTGAAAAATCGTAAAATTAGGAAATGAACAAAAAAACTTTCTTGTTTAATTCTTAATACCGTAAATCTTTAATTTCTATGCATTACTATTATGTCATTTGATAAGATGCTTATCAATAATAAAAAACAAATCGTATAAATATTTGTTTATTGTTTAGGTTGCCATCATATTAATTCTATTCTTTCTTCTTGTTCTTGCCATATCTATTGCTGCAATTTTTTGGGAAGTAAAATTATCAACTATATTTGGTTCTCGTTATACATCAAATTCTTATCAATCAACACCAAATGGTTATCGTAAAGCACAAACTGGTGCAGCTGGTGCAGCCGCAGTTAGTTATCATTGTTCTTTTGTTTTCTATTAAGTAAAATATTTATTATAGGGT